AGCTCGACCTGCTGCCCCTCTCGAATGACAGTCAAGGCCAATTCACACCGAAAGCGTTTCTGACGCATGTTTTAGTCGTCCGTCTCACGGAACAGATACGCTTCCATTTTTAACCCAATGTTTCAGTCCACACCGGCTCCGCCAGACGCGTGTCTCAAGTCCGTCCTCCAGCATTTTCTTTTACGCTCCGAGTCTATTTTCTTTCCACTTGCGCACGTGAGTGAAGCGTAAAACCCACAGAAATCCATTCAAATCGCACAAAACTCACACTTTCTATATATACGCTGTGAACTATATAAGCACAATCTAAAGCAATATTCTGATCATGCCGGCCCAGAGTGGTGCACCGATAATGGTGCACCGATAACAGTGCAACTTTTCACTTTGCTGTCACGAGCACAGTAATTAGCTGATGACACCGGCAAGGGTAAAGTATTTTTTGAGCCACAATTAACAGAGATCCACCCGCTCGTGTCGGGTTTTAATCAGCTACACTGTGTTGTAATTACAGGTAGTCCAACTTGGGCTGTTTCTCTCTCTCTCTCTCTCTCTAATGTTCTGGTGACCTTCCCATGTTTGGACACGGAACGCAAGTGTCGGACTTTGTGTGGATTGGACGCTTTCGCTGCGCTGACGTGTCGCTTCTGGCGTGAATTCGGGGTCAGTCGTAGAATTATTGATATAGCAGGTGCAGTCAAAAGTACGCTGATAGAGCGCGTTAAGATGAGCAGATGCTTTCCACTGCAATTAGATAAGTCTGTGGATGTTGTTGATTTGGCCAATTCGCTCGTTTACCTTAGATACGAGTTTGAGGGTACGTCCCAAGCCGCTACAAACAAGAACTACAGGAGAGCACATATTTCAAGCTTCTGAACGAATTTATCGACTGGAAAAAATGCGTCGGAGTTTGTACAGTGTACAGCGATGACAGACAGACACAGCGGTATAGTTGCACGAATTAGAGAGGGTGCTCCAGATATGACGTGGACGCACTGCAGCATCCACCGCGAGGCCTTGGCAGCCAAGAAAATGCCTGGATTTGAAATCTGTTAGACTCTGCTGTCAAAGTTGTGAATTGTATCAAGGCTCGACCAATGACTTCACATCGGCTTTGCTCGACTAAACAGGCTCACCCCTGTCACTGAAATGGTAAGTGCTCAGTGCTATTTTTATTATATGTGTGTGCGCGAATGCGCTCATGTTGGTCATTGAGATTTTCTGTGGTTCCTGTGAGCT